TTGATTTATTAATTCATCAAATTTATATGGCCGCCCATCTTGTGAATGAGCAGCATACAATAAAAACTATAAAACAGTAATATAAAAAACAGTTAACAGATGTTTGTCCTATCAGCTAGTGATGTGCTGAAGAGGAAGGTCAGTAAAGCCAGAGTACTCAACCAGTCATTTTGCCTATCACGCACAGCGCACGCATAATCAGGACAGCCCCATTCAGCAGCGACTCAGAACAGATGCAACAGATGCAGAATAGAGGAGCAGCAGTGGGAAGAGCAAATGATCGTTTTTGCCCAATTCAAGGATGGGTGGTGGACCACACTTCTAACTCAGCCCATGATGCCTCATCCAAACCCAAGTTCCCCCTATGCCTCTATTGAACTGAGCATGGAAACATATTGAAGGCTACTATTACAGATTGTGAGACGTAATGAGTCTGTGCATGTCTACATGAAAATGAGTGCCACATTGGGCTACTCTTGAGTAAATCTAAAATTTACAGGTAGTCCTCGCTTAATAACCACAATAGGGACCAGAAAATTGGTTGTTAAGTGAGGTGGTCATTAAGTGAGTCACCATGTGACCAGACCCAGTTTTACAGCCATTTTTACAACAGTGTTAAGTGAGCCATGTAGTCGTTAAGTGAATCATGTCATTAAGCAAATCCAGCTTCCCCAATGGACTTTTTTGCTGGAATTTGCTTAAAGGCTATGTGATTTGCTAAATGACTGCAGTGATTCACTTTACGACCATTGTAAAAAAGGTCGCAAATTGCAATCATATGACCACAGGAGTGGTAGTGCAACATTTCCGATGGTCACAAGTACAAGTACAGGTTGTAAAGCACTTTTTACAAGACCACCATAACTTTGAAAGGTCATTAAATGAGCCATCATTAAGTGAGGACTACCTGTACTAGAATCTAGAAATCTACTCTAGAATTATAGTAGGACTATAACATGAAGTATGAGGCAGGAGGGCTGTGATTGAGCTTGTGTCCCTGCTGTGAAATTCATGATGTTGCAGGTATTCTAGTTAGGGTTTTGAACTAGGACCTGGGAAATCAGGCTGAAGTCCACCCTGAGCCATGAAAGCTTACTGGGTGGGTTTGGGCCAATCACTGCCTCTCAGTCCAGCCTAACCCCTAGGGTCGTTATTGTGGGGAAAATTGGAGGAAGGTGTGCTACATATGCTGCCTTCAGTTTCTGGAGAAAAGTCAGGATATGAATTAATAAACAACCGAGGCAGCCATTTCTATATAAATGTAAAATGTCTTCCCTGGAATTGTAATCTGAATAAGGAGAAGTTTGCATGGCCATTTTTAATGGAATAATTTTGCCAGATAGTTTACATATTTCTGCCTTGCTTGCTTGTTTTTTCAATGAAATCTTTACCTGGTGAAACAGATACAGTTATCTCTTACCATCTAGAGGTGCATTTATATGTGTTCCTCTAATTTTTGGTACACTGGTTATTGCATATTTTAATTTAAAAAGAGAAACCAAGTTTCAGGGCCCACCTGAATGTGTAATTCCTCAGCAACCCACAACAGCTTTCTGAAATACAGATTTTTTATTAGTTACATCAGTCAAATGTTGCAACTGGATTAATACGCCGTATGAAATCAACACTGGCAATCCGTTATCTTTCACTTCAAAGGAGTCCCTTATCTTATATGAGGCATTTTTGTGACAAGATTTGCTATAAAACAGAAGGAAGGGGAAAACATCTGGAGTGGCTCATTTCCATATAAATCACTTCTTTCCCCCTCTTAGAGTATCAGCACTGCCTTGAGGGTTATGTGTGCAGAGCAGAGTTTTAAAACACAATGGAATAGAATACATTTGACAGGCACTGGATGCCTAAACGCATTGCAAGGTACGCTGGCCCTATAGCCTGTCCATTGCATGGCATACTTTCGCCTTTAAAGCCACCTTAATTTTAACTTATTTTGCCCACCAGGAGGCACTGAAAACATCACAGTGTGTAAAAGTAGAGAATTTTTCCATCCCTCCAAAGTTGGTGGTGGTGGTGGTGGTGGAAGCCACGTAAAACTTCATACACAGGGACGGGATGTAATGTAACATCCATATCACTCTAACCTGAGAGTATAAAGGAAGGTGGAGTGTGTGTGTGTGTGTGTGTATACACATACATACATACACACACACACCATTTTGATTGATTTTAGTTCTACTGT